GACCTCGCATCCCTACAAAGGGGGGAAGGAGCACGCCAGAACGGGGTGGGCGTGCTCTTATGTTTCGCATGCCTTAGCGGTTAGACCATTGACCACGCGTCCTCGAGAGGACGGAGCATTGTTCCCACGGGACCGATCACCGATGGTCAATCGTTCCTTCCTACTTTGCCAAAGGTGGCTAAAAATAAAAGTCGTCCTTAGTCTGTCTATCCTATCGCTATCACTTCCCGCCTTTTCAACCCACTTCCTCTGCCCCAGTACGGCTATCGTCTTTTCCTCGCTATTCCATGCCTCAAACATCTCCCTGAACGGGGGGGGGTGGCACTAAAACATGCTAAATTGTACACGATAGGGTTCGCCCCACACCAGAAAGCTTTTGCAAAGTCTGCCTGATGTCTAGTTTCCGATGAGAGGGCCGCTGCTACGCCTACAGCTTATAGAGATTGGAAGAAAAAAAACCCGACGACACAGACTTGACTGAGGCCGAAAAAAACGTGTGAATTACGTACCTGAGTTCTCGAGAGAGACGTGAAGGCCGCCTGGTTGGACTTGGCACACAAGAAGTCCAAGAAGCACCACACGGTCGCCGTGTCGCCGATAGCTACGGGGAGCGCATAGGTTTCGCGTTCAAAGATTGGCAAACAGGAAGACAAGCATCGTAGGTTGGTATTGACATGGGCAAGTACGGAAACAAGCATCGCATTGGCTTTGACACGGGCAAGCAAGAAACAAGCATCGTATTGGCTTTGACACGGGCAAGCACGCAAACAAACATCGTATTTGGTTTGACATGGGCGAAAGCAGGAACACAAGCATCGTATTGGCTTTGACACGGGCAAGCAGGGAAACAAGCATCGTATTGGCTTTGACATGGGCAAGCAGGAAACAAGCATCGTATTGGGTATGACATGGGCAAGCAGGGAAACAAGCATCGTATTGGCTTTGACACGGGCAAGCAGGGAAACAAGCATCGCATTGGCTTTGACATGGGCAAGCAGGAAACAAGCATCGTATTGGGTATGACATGGGCAAGCAGGGAAACAAGCATCGTATTGGCTTTGACACGGGCAAGCACGGAAACAAGCATCGTATTGGGTATGACATGGGCAACGAGGAAACAAGTATCGTATTGGGTTTCGTCCCAAGGACGGAAGAGAGCATGGACATGTAGAAGAAAGGACGTCCACAGGAAACAAACATCAAGCATTGGATTGGGTATGGCAGGAAAAGGCAGTGTGTGTGTGTGCAGGTGTGCTGGAGCAGGTTGCCGTAGGTGCCAACGCAGACATCTACAGCAATGTGGACGGTACACTTTTTCACAGGTATACCCCCCCGCCGCGCATCTCTCGATGTGCGGAGCCCCCGAGCGGGGAGAATGGTGGCGGCGTCGCCATAACCAGGGGTAGGAGCAAAGGGTGCTACGCCTCGAGACAAGTCGTGGTCAAGGAAGGTGCCAATAACCAAGGCAACAACAAAGACTTCGCGCCCTCCTCTTCGCTTGCGGCTTTCGTTTTCACGAGTACCGTAAGAGTCGAAGAGATGGCACCCCCGTGTTAGCGGGTTTTTTGGCGTATTTCTCCACAACTAGGGGGGTGCCAACACCAACCGATACCTCTCAGGAAAGCCCTCGACGAGATGTTTCCAAAACTACCCTTTTCGGCAGTGCTACCCCCCTGGTTGTGGAGAAATACGCTATTAAAAACGCTAACACGGGGGTGCCATCTCTCCGGCTCTTACGGTACCCCCCCCCCCCCCCCTCCCCCCGAAGGAAGCCACCCACCGGCGA